TATAGATATGTATGGTAACGTCATTCTTACTCAACTTTATACATATCTATATTATCCTAATCTACAGGGGAACCCAGGAAACAGAAACACGAATACACTACGACATCTTCTGATTTTTTAGTCGATACGATACAATCTCTACTCACGCTCATCAGATCTGACATTACGCATCACGTAAGTTATATGTCGATGTCATAAATACGCAACTAAACATCTAAAATCATGTACAATAGTAATGCGCGGATTTTAATTCAGGAATATCAACACGGTTATTGTCATATTTTGTAAGAATAAAAATGGTTCTAAATATATTTTGTTTTATAATTGACGTAATGATGATGTTGATAAGATAAAATTTAAGCATGTCATGCATTTTCTTAAACTAATTTGTTCTGACGTGCATTTTGGAAAATAAAAAGGTTGATTTTTTTTACCGATTTTTCCTCACTAAGTGTTTGAAAGCATACCACTATAAAGTGCGGTATTATATTTATACTGATAGGCAGTTTTCCCTTTGATCCTGTTCTCTTAATTTTGGATAAATTCATTTCAACAGTTTCTTGTCAAACTTTTCATCAAATATTTAAACGGCTGTTTGCGATATTATCCTCTCAAAGTCGGGCAGTCGTTCGACTTATGTACTAGCATACTTATTTTATAATACTATATAAAGAAAAACACGAATAATTTGATATTCTACATAACAAAGAACCAGCAGATCAGATTAGCTTAAGAAGATACTTCAATTCATTATCATAAATAACAATAATAATTACAAACATTGATTGTCAAGTCCAAAGTCATCTTGTTTTCGTGTCAAACTATAAAATCAACATACTCATCTCAGTACCAAGGGGGACTTACAACTAAAATAAAAATCTATTTCTCCATTGCGTCATGAGAAAAAGGGCGACGAACGAAAGGTTATTTAAACAACCAATCATCTCATAAAGGTTGAACCGTTTTAATCGTCGTTATCAATTCATCTTTGTATCCTTTTTTTCCAGATTTGAAGTCAATATTCTATAAACGACATTTTCTTCCTTTTGTTAAAGTGACATTCTTAAAACGAAATCCTGAATATATTAAACTCATATATGTTGATCCGTTTGCAGCCGAAAACATATCTGGTGGTTTTAAGTGATGAAATACCCCAATCTACACCATTGCCAACAAAAAACAACAACTTTAATACGAAATTTGAGATGACCTTACCTTCTATCTGGTTTTACCATTTCGGTTCAAAACACTATTATCAACATACGGTTTCGACTGTCTGTCTATCATCAGTAAAGATAACTGTATCTATGAACAGCTATACTTAAAGCATATACCGAGAATGTCTATTTCCTTTTCGATTACCAAGCCGGTATCATTCAGTACAAGGTCATTACTCATACTCATACCAATCACACCCGTTAGGAATACCTTGTTATCTATGACAGGCGTGTTATCTCTAATGGGGTGATTTTGTGTCACAGTTGATAACGCCCTAGATTGTTACATATATTAGTGTTTTATGTGATATTCATCCATCCATGTGAGGTGAAATATAAATAAGGTACTTTGCGTGAATATTGTAACTGTACGTCGGGCGATGTGCTATACTTGCGTAGACTGATATTCTCAATTAAAATTAATCATTGCCAATGTCTCCACCAGAGCTCGAACCTGTAACCTCTGGTTTACTAGCCTGATGCAGTGAATACTTTGACTAACACGGCCAGGGTTCAACCCTCCGGCCGGGCTTTAAAAGGTATGGGGTCAACTGCCTGATCACATGCATTTTCTCGACCAACATCAAAAACCTTTTTGTTTCATAACTGTTGTAAAATAAATAAAAGATTTGTTTATATTTCTAGTTTGTTTCGAATGAGCTAAAGAGAAAATATCCCTAGCCGAGCCGAGAAGCAGCTGATATGTCGTATTGTTATACGAAATTTTAATTAGAAGTGTTGACCGGTTTCTGAAATCAAATATATTTTCTAAAAAGCACATTGTCGCTGTGTATGTGATAAGGGCTACATGTTTAGTATCTAGAATTTATCTTATATCAACGTTAACATCACATATACTTTATCAATAACGATTACCAAATGTTGTACTAATTACTGGATGCCGTATCGGTTTATTTAATATTAACACGTGGGTTATTGAAATTTTGCGGCTGTGGAGCCCATAATAAATCCTTCACTATAGTGGGAAACATACGTAAACATAAAACGTACAACATAACTATTTAAATACT